GTACAGAACCAGTTCGAGAAAAGATCTTCCATGTAACAGGCAGACACGGCCTCTTGCTTTCCTCTTTACAAACCATTTGTTCTTGGATTCCACTGGCAAGAGAACTTGATTTTGGTATCCATGAGCAGTGATGGTCCTTTATATGTGAATTCAGAAAAGCTTCATTATTATGGCTTTCCTTTGCTATTAGAGATACTGAAAATATCAGATGGATCCAATATATTTAACAGAACTTGTAAAAAAAAAAAGTGGAAAACTTCAACTGTAAAAACTTTAAGTTGCAAATGTAATCTTCTAAAATGGAAAAATGTGGGTGTTTAAAGAATTCTCCTTTCCACTTTTTTCCCGTTCTGTTAGTGTCAACTTACAGTTTCAGAAGAAGCAGAAGTGAGACAATTTGTTAAGCTTGTTTCTATCTTCTGGTGTTTCAATGGCTTACAGGCATATCACTGTCTGCATAACTGGGAATTTCTAGATTAAATGTCCTTGTGTATTGTTATGACTAGTTTTTCTTGCAATGTCTGTGATAAAATTTAACACAAAAAATAAAACCCTAAAAAAGGAAATAATCTTCCTATGCAACTATTAGGTAGCCAAAATCACTATAGGCATCAACATTTTTTTCTTCTATTCCATGTTTTATGCTTTTTGTCCCATTCAATTTTTTTATATAGCCTGGTACTAAAACAGTGAAGTTGGTCTTTCCAGAAAGCTTGGTGAGTACAGGAGGGATACACATCCCTTCCCAATTATAGCTCAATAATTCTGGAAACTGTTAACCAGGGCTAAGGTCTTCCAAGATATCTAGAGAAGCTAGTTATCAAATTGCACTGTTTCAGTGAGACTTGTAGCTCTTTCAACAACTTCTGAAAAATCCAGTTGTTCAGTCCTGTTTGCATACCTCACTTTATCAAGAGCACCCATGAGCTTCTATAACAGGTGACTGTTGGTGTGGGCGTACTGTAATTTGGAAACAAATATGCTGTTTGGGTTTGGTTTGCTATCACACCTGCGAGGGTAAACAAATCCAGATGACTAGCAGGATATGCTAATGCATTACATTACAGAGAGGTTAAATGGAAGTTGTTTTTTACAAAGAATTCCTTTATCGTCACTATCTTCCTGATAAAAAGAATGGCATTTTCACTACATTAAAGGAAAAATATCCTTAAAAGGTTGACTTATCTGTCACACGGAAAAGCTACAGACTTTTCAGCTGATATTTATAATGAACTAACAGTCATTTTTCCCCTGAAAATTCTGTCTTGATGGTAAAGATATGTTCTTAAGTGAGGCTTTCCCCCTGGTGCAGCCTGAGTGCTGTGGGACTTTCAGGTGGTGTGGCTGCACAGGGACCACTGTGCCTCTGAGTCCTGATTGCACTTTTGTTTTGGATGCTAGTGCTCCCCCTTGCAGGAGAGAGCTGGGTTGGGTCACCCAGGGGCTGTGGTGCATTACCCTTATCTCAGCAGTGCTCTCCCATCAGGGAGGATGAACTCGGTGGTTTTTGTAGCAAGGTGGTGGCATCAGCGATGCCTCTGGCTTTAATCAGCTGGCTAAAGCCATGTGTGCTTTCAGCAGCCTGGGCACACCCTTAACAATTGCCATTTCATCCATGTAAACACAGGAGTTCAGTGTGAGTTGAGTCATACTTCCTCAGATTAATTGATCTTTTGCAAGTTTATACCAACCAGCATGGCGTTGGGGTCAGATCTGCCCCACGCCACCTATGTGATCCTTCTGTAGCTGATCCTGACCCGTTCCCGCATCGCTGCACATCTGAGAATACTGGGAACAGTACAGAGTACTGCAGGGGAACATGGTCAATTTTGATGGGACTGGCTGCAGCCTCTTTGTAGTACAAAGCACTTTGCAGGAAGCGTGTAACTGCACTGAATGGAACAACCTTGAGACCAAGATCTCAACTTCACGTGCTCATCCATGTTACGTTCCATACTCTGGACCTTTCCTCCTACCTTGTTACTTGTGGTCAACCACAGCGCTCGATACTACATGTTGTAATACTTTGGAGTTTGAGCCTCTTCATACTTCCATAGTTCCCAGAAATTTGTCAACTCATTTTAACGCTTTTTACTGGTTGGAAGCTTTTATTTTCGCCTTGTTCAAGTGTAAAAGAAAACAAAATGAAGCTTATAAGCAGACAAGCTTATTAACCAAAGGGTGAACCCTTGAGTCATTTGTCATTGAAATATAATTTTTAAAATTTGTATTTCCATATATTGGCCTGATTCTTAATTAAATCAGGAAATAAATTGCCTAAGAGATTTGAATAAAGTCCAGGATACTAGCAATTAGTAAGTAAAAAAAAAAATACTACATCTTCCTTTGTACTAGGAAATCAAAGGCATCTTACTCCTTTAAAACCTGACACTGAGAGACACTGAAGAGTGAAAAATGCTACACTGTGTTATTTGTGATTAGTCATTTGTTACCAGCAAAGGTACAGTGCAGTTACCACAGAACACACTCTTGTATTAACTTGTTAGAATGTTGAAGCTCAGTTAAGCAAACTTGGAAATTTGTGGTTTTGTTCCCCTCCTTTTTTATTATTGTAAAGATGTAAATGGTGAGGAAGGAAGGGAAACCCTATTGTTCATAACAAGAAAACTTCAGCTTTTTTCTCCACTGATAAATCCAGAAGGTTGTGTTGAGGATGGGGGATGTGAGGGGGACAACAACCACTTGAAGTGATGTTTTGAGGAGGTACTTGAATTACAATTTAAAAAAAAAATCCAATGCTGTGGAAAGCTAAATGGAACATTTTGGAAAAACTGACTAACATTTGCTGAGACTTGTAGAAAAGTCATGTGTTTGAACAGGCCCACCTCTACCCTATGCAGGGTAACAGTCTGCATTGAGCTGCAGGTAATCTGCTACCACATCTCAAAAATAGCCTGATACTGGTTTTTTTCCCCCTTATAGACATCTATCAATGCTTCTTTATTTTATAGCCCTTTACAGTGGATTTTTCAAAGTACTTTTTTTAGTTTTTTAGAGATCCAGACTCTAACACCAGTGGGCAATGATTCCCAAAACAAGTGCCTCCTGCAGGTGTTTAGAACGGAATGAAAAGGAAGCAGATCTCATTGAACACTTTCAGTATTGGTCTATCACTATCTTTCTGATGCTTTCATTTCTAACTAATTTCATGAACATTAGCACAAACTTGTAATATTTTATGTAGATATACATTTATTTATACTCCCCTTTTCCTAAATAATGCATTAGGCAAAACATTTTAAATTCCCTATAGTACTGCAATAAAAAGAATTAAGTTTTTTCAAAGTTTTAGATTTCTATCTATTTTAAACTTATAAATCCCAAATTCAGTTGGTTACTCATGAATTTAAATACAGAAGTCTCACTCCTTGTGGGATTTGAGTCTCAATTTAATTAATATTTTGGGAGGAAGTTGTGGTTCGATTTTTAGTCAACTGGATTGCCCCAGCTTTTATATTTTACTAGTCATGTGAAAGAAAGTCTAAGGAGAACTGAGTAATTAGAAGAAAACAATTTGTTGTCCAGGGCAAAAAGGAAATGTTTGTTTTTAATACTACATGTATGAGTGTTTGAATGTTTTTCATGAACCGAGTAAGAACTTCCCAATTAGTACTCAACTTCAAATGCTGTTATATAAAAGGGATCAAAAGCGGAAAAAGGCCATGGAGGGCAACCTGCTCTGAAGACAGCGACAGAATCCCAAACTAAAGGAGCCAAGAAAAAGAAGGCAGAGAGTCCCAAGCTAGGACACAGCACATTTAGTAAACTCTTTAGACATAAGGTCTGTATGAAACTAGCAAGAGCAGAACCCTGAGTAGTAACAGATGGCTCCTGGCAGAGTGGAGTTATTTAATTGGTAACTGAAATCAGCATCTGTCCAGCTGTGCAGTGCTCTGAAAACTACTGGCATGAGCATTTCTATGCCATGTATTGCAAAAACAATTTTCATGTGCAATGTTTCTCTCACTACACCATCTGTGAATTCAGGATTCTGAAACAATTCCTCTAACCTTCCCCACTATATCCTTCCCAGTCACACATACTAACGCTGCCTAAACTTCCCTGGCCACTTAAAATAAAAATAAAATAAAAGGTACTGACAGGCAATGAATTATGCAGATATGAACAGCACCTGCAGTTGTAGGACAGGTTTAAGAGCTCAGACCAACTACAATTAAGGCTTTATGATCCACATTGCCTTAATATGCACTGCCATGTAGTTAAAATCAGTGATTTGGTGAACTGGGGTACCTGATATGACACAGAGAAGGCTGGAACATGGAACTTCCTTCAGAAATTGTTACTTTTCACTGAAGAAAAGTAACTATTGATGGAATTCTAAGTTTAGTTTGGATTGGAAAAGCTTGGTTTTCAAGGATGCTTTAAAATTGTTCAAGACAATTTTTGTGCAAATGGTTGTTTTAGAGGACATTAGCTTCTATCTTTAAAAAAAATCACTGAAACTTTTCATCAGCTTTGGTCTCAAGGTCCATATTTGAGCGTTTCTGCATTCTCTGAGGAAGATAATCTGCCGTGATGTTCTGTGGCAGGGAAGCAGAGAATTGTGGCTTTTTAGCCCAAAGAATGCAGAAGCAGAGACCCTTCCACTGGAGGAGGAAAATAATTAATATTTAATGTTCACTCAAAACACCCACGTGGAATTTCTGGTGAGTAGGGGGCTTTATAATCAAGGGCACAAGGCAAAGAGTTCCTTAAGATATTTTCAAAACAAAATGTTCTTTCCACTGTCTCATTTTTGAGATAAAGTCATCTGTATATTACTGAAGGAATAATATTCTTCCCAATAATTTTAAGGTTACATTTCTAGCTAACAGATTAAAGTTAAGATCTTTTCTTGTATATACTCCATTGATAGCTAACAGTTTTGATATTTAATACAATTAAAATACAAATTATTTGTTCATGATAAATTAGAGTTTCTTGGTAAAAAACATACCTTTTTTTTTAAGCAGCATTTTTTAAGGTGCCAAGCCTCTTTTATAGTAGTTCAAAATCTCATGATGAGTTGTTGGGAGAAATGATTGGTCTTCATTAGGCTATTTGATAGAATTTTCAAGACTTTTGGTCTGGAATGAAAGCAGTTATCTTGACAGAATGCAGCAGCACTAAATTTTTACAGTAATAAAATCTGTCTAATAAAATGCCATTACTTTTTAAATAGTTTTTTCTTGTTTCTAAGTTTACTTTCACAGCTTTCTTTCCACATACAAAATACAGAAGCAATTAGTGGGATATCATTTATGACATATTAAGAATAAAGGAGATGGATTAAAATGGTGCCAACAGTTTGCTTGTAAAGCTGATTGAGAGTGGAAATTCAAATCAGAGCAGTGATGTGACAGGCAAGCCCTGAAGTTATCACCTCTAGTGGAAAAAAAAAAAATAGTTCTGTTTATCTCTTTTCATTTGAAATGCCTTAGCGTGATGTGTCAATTAAATGAACAGATAATGAATTTCTTTATTTGAAATCATCATTTTAATAGTAGTCATACTTAATTTTAAGCACTTCACTCTCTCCTCTGAAAGTTTTGTCTCTGCAAGTCTTCCAAAATGCACTTCTCAATACCTCAGTTAAGAAAAGATTTCCTATTAGATTAACAAAGATTGTTTTTCAGTGCCCTGTGTTTACATAAATACTAACTTTAAAGTGACTTGTGAATGTTGCTTTCAAACAGCAATGTGCATCCTAATATAAATCCATAACATGAGCTGATTGAATGGGATTTGGCTGTTTAACCTCAAAGACTGAGTTTGGATGGCATTTGACAGCTGAGTGCCTGTCAGTTCTTTTATTTCCATCCATGTATATTTGCCTTGCATTGCATGCCAGTTTTGCAGTATAACTGTACTTATTTATGGAATTTTGACGGAGAAGAGGTAATCACTTATTTTCAGCATTAGTCCTGTCCCAAAGCCAGCTTGTGGCATTAAACTACTTTTTACCGCTTGTTCTGGATCTTGTTCATTAGAGCTAACCACAAAAAGTTCTTGGCTCCTGCAAAACAACTCCCGCCTATTATTTCAAGAAATCTGCAAAGCATACTGCAGACTGTCTAAAGCCAGGGATGCTGGGCTCACATTTACTTGAGTTTGTGACTTGCTGCTCCTCTTTTTGTGCAGCTCAGATACTCATCTTTAAGTTATGCTGGATGTTAGGGTCAATAGATACTGATATATATCACTGGCCAGAAAGGAGTTTAATGAACTGGATCCCTCCTGGCTTCCTGTATTTTGATGAAACAAGGAGATCCGTGATTGTCAATGATTTTTTTCTTTTTTTCTTACAAAAGAGTAAATCTCACCTAATGCACAAAAGTGTGAGTGAATGGACTCAACCAACCTCCAGCACCTGCAGATTTTCTCTTTGTAGACCGGCAGCTCCTGCTTCTAAGTTACAAAGCTGCTGCTGTTCTGTGGCCTCCATTTCCATATGTTTTGTATCCCAGAAAGCAAAGCCTCCTGCTTTGAAGGTGATGTTAGCAGGTCCCTGACAGGTATGCAATTCTCTCAATGGAAAAGAACCAGCTCTGGCTTGTACGTGTGCACTGAAAGTTGTTCAGCAGACCCAGCTCAGAGAAAAAAAAAAAAAACAAACTGCTAATGTCTTAAAACCCTGTGTAATATCTTACCTGAAGAAACTGGAAATGTGTATGTAAATACAGGCATTTTTAAAGAGCAAGTTGAGGATTGCTAGCACAGCAGCATGAGCATAAAACAACTCAAAGCAAGGCTGCTGCAGGTAGAAGGACGAGAGCTAGCAGTCCCTGCAGGCAGCCCTGCCTCTGCCAGAGAGCAGTTTCCAGGGCTGCAGGAGCCAGGACTTTCGCAAACATTCACTAAAAATAAAATAATTTGTGACACAGACAATTCCTGAACTGTGCAACTGTGAGCGCTGACATTGCCAGGGACAGACTTCTCTTTGTGTTTTGTTTCCCTTCAGGCTGCAAAAGAGACCCAACAGACAACTAACACCAAAGTGAGTAGGATGATTCGAGTTATCTGTATGAATAACGCAAAGGGTAATTATCCTCACCGTCATTTTCAGCCTCAAAGACACTGTTTTAATTTCTTAATTAATCATATCTGTTACCAAGGGTGGGTTGCTGTGTAATTTGCTTCCCCTGCTCAAGGTGTTATGTCGTTTGAAAGGACAGGGCAACGCAGCTGATGAGCTGCACCTCATTGCTTGGTGTGTCCTGTGCAATGGTGGCCCACTGCACACCTACCTCTTGTGCCAGGTGGTGCCTGAACGTGCTGCAAGTATCTTGTCCTTCACACGTTTCCAACAGCCTATGTGTTCACGTTTCTTTCTAGAGCCCTGAACAGCAGCCTGTTACCTCTGTAAAATCAGACAAAAATGTCCCTTCCTCCCAAGAGCCGCAGGCAACTAAGCAGAACACAAAAGCCCTGGAGCCTGCAGCCCAGCAGCAGGCAGTGGCCAACGAAGCCCCCAAAGAGGTGACGAAGGAGAAAGCATCATCCACTCCTATGCCATTGAGCAAGCTCTTCTGGAAAAAGGTATGTCTGGATTTTAGAGCTGGTCTATCCCACAGCGTCCAGAGTTCTTGTGAAGTGCAGAGTTACAGTAAAGCAGTCCAATCTGCAAAGTTGAGCATGTCCCACGTGCTAAATGCATGAGGGATATAAATTATGTATGTAGTTACAAACGTGTACGTGAGCTTTGGGCAGACACGTATACATACAGCTAACAAAGGCAGTCAGACTCCTGCAGAAGAACCTTAGAAAACTGGAGTCTTTTAAACTTGTCCGTACTATTGTTGAATGACATTGTGGAAGAAGGAATATTATTCTGTCAAATCAACATCATCTTAAAAATCCTACAGGGATTATAGTATTCTTTACCAAATCATATCATTAATAGATATTTTACACATTTTGGTTTTGAGAAATGTTTGAATTAGTTCTAAATATCTGAAAACACAGAATCTAGTGCGTTTATTCTTACTCAGAAGAAAAAGTTTCATACCAGAGTGGATCAGTCTTTAAATTTGGGGATTGAGGTTGATAGCTTGGGAAGACATGTTTTTCCTCAGGTTAAATAATGATTTTAACTAAAATTAGGACTAACTTTGAAAATCATGGTTCCTGTTTCCATGATCCTCAGTGATTTATAAACTGAAGGCTTATTCTTTTCTCATTTCATTTAAGAGAAGGGCGGTATTAAACTTTTCTGAATCACTGTATGTTGAATAACTGCTTTCCTGGGCTTCTGTTCAAGTTCAAATCCCAGAAATGAAATGCTTCCAAACACACAGATGCTGGCTGAGCTGCTAGCCCTGCAGCTTCTTTAGCTGTGTTTTCCCTACTAGGCAGTGACACCGGAGATGCAGTTTGGGTGTTACTTACATTAAAAATACAAAGGTACTTAGACATTTACAGAGTAAACATGCTTGGAAACAATCTAAGCTTGAAACGCTTGTTACTTGGGACTTAATTTCCAGTGGAACTGGGTGAATCAGGTACTTAGAACAAGAGGAAAGTCATGAAGAAGAGGGAGAGGGAGGGTTTTTATATAGTTATTATTGCTACAGAAACCTCCTTCTCTGTCTGGCTTATTTGAAAACAGAGAAGGGAAGCAGGATGTATGCTGAACGTCAGGGTGAAATAAGGAAAAAAGAGGTCTTCTGGCAGGCAATTGTATGCCATTTCAGTGTAAAACTGAGAGTAATAAATCTGTTTGAGTATTTTCATAACGAAGTAACAAGGTCTTTTGTGTACTTGAGAAGGAAAAAGAATGCAAGAAGGGAAAGTTTTCTTGCAGAAAAACAGTGAAAAATCACTCCTGGGGAGAGCGATTGGTGGTGATGGCTGGTTTAGAAAAAAAATATGAAACTGATAAAGTTTTGGCAAGATTTCTAAACCCCATTTTGAAAGATTAACCCAAACTAATGTAGCTATAGATATTTTACTGCTCTGTATAATGTAGGTTCTGCCCACAGTGAATATCAGCTCCCCGCGTCTTGTATTACAGCTACACTGAACTAGGTGTAGGTAACTATCCTGTGTCTCTTTAACCTTACAACAATCCTCATGTGAAGTTCTGGGATCTCAAACGTGTCAAGGGTATAAACCTTGTACCAAACACCTGTCTTTTGCTTCTGTTTGTACATAATGCTGGGTTTAATTTATCCTACATCATCATTAAAATAAAACTGCCTGCACCAGTGAATGGAAAGTGTAGTGAACTCTCTACAACTCCAAGCAGGTTTCAGTTGCTACCAAAAATATTAAGGGTTAGTTAAATCATTTACTTAAATGCACTGAACTACAATAGTATGTGAAATCTGACTTTTAACTTTGTAAAATAAGGCCATTTCTGCTTAGTTAGAACTTCTTGAGTCTGAAATTGTCTCAAGACCAAATGTTTTTGCAAGTCTTCTGGAGTAAATTTCTTTAGTAGGGAACTGAATTTGGTCCTATGGATTTAAAAAAAAAAAAATCTGCCTGCTTGAGCATTGAATCCTTACTTATAAAAGGCTGATGTTGCTTTACTGGATTTTCTTGACAGAGAATAATATTGTATTTCCTTTGATGAAAGACCTTGGTGACCCAGTCAGCTTGAAGCTTAAAAAAAAAAAAGATGTAAAAAAAACCCTACAGATGTAAAAAAAAAAAGGATAGATGTAAAAAAAAAAAGTCCTTAGTCTACAGGTTAGCCTCAAACTCAGCTTGGTTTGAGGATTTTGTCTCTCTTTTTTTTTTTTCCCTGCAGTGATTTTGTTTTTCTTTCTGGCACCCTTAATGTATTGCCTTTTTGCTGAGACAGAGAATCGAAGCTAGCAACTGTTCCAAATAGGTGTATAATTCAATCCTGTAGTTTCTCCTTTTGAACCAACGAATAGCAGCTACAACTCTCATTAGATCCAGGATTCACATCCAACTTCTCTCTTTCCAGGCAGTCTCTCAAATATCTATCTTCTGGTGAGCTTTCACTTCAAAGCAAAGCTAATGAAGTGCCTGTCAACACATTGCAGTTAATGCTGCTCCAACTACAGACAAATAAATATGTAAAAGAAAAAGAAATAAAATCTTTATTCAACTTCTCAGACGGAAACTACTTTGACTATATTTGCCCCATTTCCTGAGCAGTCTGCACAAGAATTTTCATAACTGTTACTAAAATGTTGTCATACTAGTATATTTTTTTCAAACACTAAGGAATATTAATAGAAAATTACAGTTAGTAATTTCACATATTTATGTTAGAAACTTGGTTTTCAAGACCTTGTAGATATCTGATCAGGGCAGAGAAACATATGATGCTTCATTTATATCTGATCAAAGCATGCCAGTAAACGAGGGAGGAAAGTGATTGAGGGAGTAGTAGTTAGACTGCTCTGTGAATTATCTTTACAAGTGGATATTTTTTTTAAAAACTAGAATTTTAAGCTGTTGCAACTCTTGCCATACAAATGCAGAAAAATCATGCCCTTTTTACTGAGGGGGTTATTTGTGCGCTAATAATACAAAGAGCAAACTGGTTAGCTACTTGCTGAAGCAGAATAACACCTTTTATTGCTGAACCTGCAACCATACTCTGCTGTAGGAAGACAAAGATAAATATTTGGGTGGAGCATGCTAGATAAATGTTAAAATCACCCAGGACTTAAATTCCCGTATATTCCAGGGTGGGAGCAGGTAAACTGCTCTCCTGGAATATACTACCTATCAGGTGAGAGGGAAGGAGATTCTGGCTGTGTGTTGCTGGGTAAATGGATGAAGAAGCTTGAAAAAGAATTCCCTTTGGTTGAGGGATTGAGGAGGACAATCCGCAAGGGGTTTTTGGGGGCCATTTCACAACCTGACTGCTGGCACAGGTGCCATCCTTCACATCCTCAACCCAGCACATACCTCCAACAGAACTTGTAAACGTTTTTGGACTGTTCACGGACCAGTGTGGTTTTAGACATAAGCTGACAGTGGATGATATTAATTGTTTAATACTCTGAGCTATTATGGCTCATGATCTGCTAAGTGGTACCTTCAGGCAGCAGCTGCAGGTCACAATGGGCTTCAGGGTGGAGGTCTGAGAGCACATTGGTGGCTAAAGCTGAGCTACCTTAACTGCAGGAACCTCTGTCGTCTTTGCTTTGGCAAAGGAGGGCAGGAAGGTGGGTTAAAGTCTCTCTAACCTTCTCTGCTTCCTGTCTGCGAGCGGCAGGAGCAGATCTCAAGCATGACTGCTCTTTTAAGTGGAAATTTCTTGAGCAAAAGGTCATCTCTCATCTATGTTGTTAAGATAAAAGAAAAGCTGCTTCATAAAGGTATGACCCAGGAAAAACAGAACTGCTCCTTGAGTCTAATGAAATGCAGTGGAGAGTGCCAGTCCAGATTCTAGCACAAGATCAAAGCAGGGTATAGTGTTTACTTCAATTTTGAGGAAAGATGCAGCAAGCAAAAGGAAAACTCCTATGAAAGTTATCCAGGTCACGATATAAGTTACACTCTCATAGGGCGACAATTTGTATGGTCAGGAACCTAGATAAGCAAATGGTGTAGTAATAGTTCACCAAAACAATAGGAGAGTTTGTAAGAACCAGAAAGAGGACTGAAAGGGTAGAGACAAACTTTCTACCATAACTGTTTTAAGTAAGCTTATTGCTACAGGAAAATTATGGATGCTATCATTTAAGAGATGGCAGAATGCTTCCCTAACATACTGAAACAGAGAGCCTAGTAAAATACTCCTATCTTTCCTAATTGTGTTTTATAAAATAAAATATTTCGGAAAATAAAAAAGAGATAGTTCTGTAATAGGAAGAACAAAGGATGGTGCTCATCTTATTTCTTCAAACAAATGTATCTTGAAATGTTTTCTGAGCTTGGCAGAGTGCCTTTAGAAACAGAAAATAACCCAACAGCACTTCTATCTCCATGGCACGTAACAGCAGTAGCTGCTGAGTTAGGTTGAATTTATTACAATTTGTGTCTAAGGAAACTGGAGGCAGAATTTGGACCCATGAATCCAGCAACCTTAGTTGATGCAATTTATAGGTATAAGGTGCTAATTTACATTTATGAGAACACTTATGCATTAAAGACTGATAAAGCCAATACAGCTAGGCTGTTTGCAAATTATTATATACAAACAGCAGTTTCCTCTTAAAACTAGTCACAAAACTTGACATAATTTTTTTTCTCCCAGGTGACGTAAAGAAACTGAGCCCATTGCTCTAAAGAACAGTTTAGGTTAATGTAACATCATTCAAAGTTTATTGACTTTGTCGGGCTTTTCCTACTATACTTTCAATTCCTGCCAGAAGCACCTTGGCGATTCTCTTGAATGCACAAATGGAAAATTTTCTTCTAGTTTCCTAGAGAAAACAGGAACAAAATTTAAAACTGTTCTTAAAAGTATGTCAGAAAACCTTCTTAGCTGGAAGGGGTTTTCCTCTCTACTGAAAGACCATGTGCATCTCTGAAGTACACAATATACTATGGTCATGTGTCATCAGTCTCCAAGAATCTGCCACCTTGATCAGTCTTACTTGAGATGGTTTTCCAATGTATCTAGAGTTTACTTTTGTCACAGCACATTTGAAGACTCTGATCTGATTGCATGGATGTTGTGGAATCTCCAGCCTTGGAGACACTGAAAGCTCAACTTGATAAGTTCCTCAGCAACCTGATGCAGCTCCTGCTTTGAGTGGGAGGCTGAACTAGGCCTCCAGAGATGTCTTTAAGATCACAAAATTGTAAAAGAAAATCTTCAGCATTGGCTAATTCAGTCTTACAGAGGGAGATGGCTATACAAGAATGATTCCCGGAGATAATTACAAGAAAATTATCATAAAATTTTAATAGCAAGCCTAAGACATCAAAAAAGATAACCTGTAACTTCTGCAACAACTTTTATGTGCCTCATAGTACAAAATTCAAGTAACTACACAGGTATATCTGATATCTATGTTTAAAAAAAAAAATAAGGTATTCTAAAACAGGATTTAAACTTTCCGGAAGCCTCTTATGGAATCCACGAACAAATGTACAAAAAGTCCCTGATTAAACAAATCAATCTGTCTGAATAGTTGATTATCACTTAGCTCTTTTCTTTATTTAAATAGACAGTGCTTTTCAGAGTTCGGCATCTTGCCCCAGGATGCATTTGTTGTCAGTAGTGACACTAATGCCGTTGCATAGACATAGCTTGAGAGACAAAACTCATTTGGGTTGCAGCTGTAACAGCATAGCAGTAATACGATCCCAAACTGTAATCTTTGAATGATGAGCTCCCAGAAGCTAGGTTGCTGCTTTATTGAGCCACTGTTTCAACTCATGCAATGAATCATTTCCTCCAAGCAACTAGATGGTGAATTGATTATATGTGTGTGTGAATAGGCAGAAATATAGATTAAAATTATTACAGATTGATTATCTAGAAAATGTTCATAAATATAAATTAAATCTACAATTCCATGGGAACGCAGGCTGTGCTGCAGTCATCTCAGGCAGCAGGGGACAAGGAATATTTATTCCCTCATCATTCTTCTCCTCCCTACCTTGCCCCCAAAATTTTTGTTCCTTCCACAAAAGAAGAGTAAAGAACAAAGCAAAATCTCTTATGCTGCTGGTAAGTCCTCATCTTGCATGTGGGGTCCCCTCAATTCAAAAAAATATAATAGAACTAAAAGGTATAATACTGAGGAAAAAAATGCATTAAAATATTGAATGGCTTCTGCATGAAGAACTATATAAATTAGGATTTTTTTTTTCAGTTCAGAAAGGAGTTTGCAGAAAGGAAGATGACAGCAGCATACAGAATTACTATTATAACATAAAAGGTGAACAGGAAAGATCAGTCGTTGCTCAAAATAAAAGCAGTAGAGCATCAAATAAAATTACTTGGTGATGAACAAAAATGAAGTACTTTAAAGGAAAAAACATACTTTAGCTGTAGAATCCTTTGCCACAGGATGCTGCTGGATGTCAGAAATTTGTATCAACTCAGAAAATGTTTAGTTAAATTCCTGTAGGAAAATTATCCACCAAGGGCTATTAAACCAAAGACACTACATGGGAATGGCCAAGTTGAAGATAATTGGAAAAGTGTGAGTGCAGAAGTACCGTAAGCCGCTGCTGGAAGAGGAGGCAGTGTCCGTTTTCCACCACTCAGTCAGGAACTGGGGCTGGGGTGAATCTTTGATATCATCTTTTAAATTGTTCTCATGTTCATGTGGCTAAAATTAATTTGGTCAAAACAACCCTGAGTTACATGTGAGTTCCTGTGAGTACATGTAAAAACTGTGGAATATCATTTTGAGATTTATTTACAGCAGTTCTTTCCTACAGTAACCATAATATAAACTTCAGCTGTAACTGTGCTGCATTTTTAGGCAGCAGCATGTGTTGAAATGCCAGTACCTAAGGTAACTGCTTCTGTTTGATCCAGTATTGGAGGCTGAGGGCATAACTTATCCTGCTTTTATAATGTTCTACACCTTTCTGCAATACGCTGCAAAATGATAAAGGGCTTGCTTCAGGTCAAATTATCTGCTTATTAGCATAATAGCTTCTTTTTATGGCAGAAAGGGAAATACTTCTTTATACAGTTACAGTGAGATAGAAAATAATTAGTGGTTCTTCAGGGCACAGAGGATGTTATTTACCGGGGCATTCATAAAAGGCAGAATAGTCAGCTAAGGAACTGCATGTTGAGCCTCCTGCCCAGCTGTGCCTCCACCTCCTACAGCAGAAACGTGCCTCCTGTTCACATATTCTGCTCTGTGCAGGTCTTGCTCAGTTTAACACTGAACGTTCCCAGGATAGCCTTGAGAAAGCTGTGGAATGAGACATGCAGGAGATTAATCAATAAATCTTATAGGGATCCATATTTCAGAGGAATTTACAAACCACATGCCTCTGGTTGAAGTACTATTATAATGTAAAGAACTTTCCAGTAACTCTCAAAAGCTCAGTGGGACCCAAAATCCTTCTATAAAGCCAACATTGCTGAGAAGCCAACAGCTTTTCTGGAACTCAAACGAAGGTCAACACTATCAAAGAGGGTGATTGTGACCCATGAGATTAGGCGAAGTAATAGATGAGCTACTTAACTATCTTGTAGCTCAAGAAGTCATTTATATTTTGCAACTGGGGAGAGGAGTTAGCACTGTGAATGTGACCAGCCTGAGAATGCTGTGGCTGAGATGTTAAACTTACAGTTATTTCACTAAGAAAGGTGCTCAACAGAGTTTTAACAACTAATAATAAAGTCCATGGTGTGTTTTAATTACTTATCTCATCCTTTCTTTTGGGTGCAAACTCCTGGGTATGATCTTTCTCATTTTCTTTCACCTTTGTGTCATCTACTCATGGCACATACTACTGTGAGTGTAATTTTGTTTAAGTTTTATTTTTAAATTGTAATCAAAGATAAATTATTGTGTTTGAGAACTAGTACTGCAATTCAAGAAAGGTTATTTCTTCCGTTTAAACAAGTGCTTAAAATTCTCACCAACTTATATTAAATTGGAATGAATCAAATTCCTGAAGAAACCTGTACAGATATGGTGATGCTGAGAATCCTTTCGGGCCGCATTTGTTCATGAGGTAACAACTTGCTGTACTGCTGAAGCACTTTGACTGTAACCTCCTAAAAAAAAAAAAAAATAATGTCACTGATTAAGTCTGAACGTTTTTTTCCCACTTTCTTAATATTTGCCAAAAATAACTCCAGAACGCGTCGGAAGAAGCAGAGATCGTAAGCAATGAAAAAGCAGACGCGTCTTTAGAAGCTGTGGCTCCGGACAAAGCTGAGAGCAAGAGCCCAGAAGCCGCAGAAGTGAAACCGAGACGGGAAGAAAGTAAAACCCCCAAAGCGAACCTGCGCAAGTTTTTTAAGCTGGTGAGTAAAACACCGACTTGCCAGAGTTGGGAGCGATGAGCTCGTTGCAAGGCTGGGGGGGTAATTCCTGAGAAATCTTTTGCAAACACATGTCCAAGAGCGCAGGAGCGAAGCTACGCCCGTTTCCAGAGGGGGAGCGCGATCGTGTCCCGCAGCCCCGGCCCGGCCGCGGCCCCCCGCGCGTTTCGCGTTCTGCGTCTCCCTCTCGTGGCTCCGCCGGAAACAGCCCCGGGGCCGCCGCGGGCTCCCGGCCCCGCGGCCGCCCTTTTCCCCCGCCGAGGTGGCCCAGGGCGCTTCGAGGGGCTCGATCCGGCATTCGCGACTGGCGCCGAGGAAGCCCTCGGCCTCACCGACCGCTTGGCTGGGGGATGGGAGAGCCAGGCAGGTGCTCCCAGAGGAAACCACCTCCTATGGGCCCCAGCAGTACCACTGTCCCGGTGTCACTCCATCATTAAGCCCCATGATTGCTTCAGGGACTCACATTTTTGGTAATGAAACTTTTTTTAGCAGCTCATGCTGGGTTAGCTGAACTGGTATGTAAAATGATACAATTGCTTCAAAGGTGTTACCTCTAAGATTGAGAATAGAAAGGCACAAAGTAGAATCTAATCCTCCTTCCCAGAAGATGACTGGAGGGAAGAAGGAAGCCACTGAGGTGATAACGTGGCTCGTATCGTCTTGTGGTTATAGATAAGAAGAGCTGTTCTGATGCATTTGTGTGCAAACAGCAGCCAGGCAGTATTCCTCAAAAGAGTCTAGAAAAGCGCCCAGGAAAATTATCCAAGTCTAGAACTATCGCCTCTCTGATTAAAATTGTAGCAGGCCTTGAGAATTTACATAGCAATTGATCTATTCTGGCAAGGTTGGCAAATGTGTATGAAAGATTTCTATTTTTAATCAATGCCCTTTTATTTTCAGGCAGCTACGTAGTGTGGGCATCAGAGTAGCTTATACATCAAAATGTGAAAAACATGGTTTCTTATAAAACAATGTAATAAATAGTCCAGGTTGTCTGAACTGTCTGCTCTCAGGTACGTGTTGGTACATACAGCTGTAAACAGTCATATTGTCAATGATTAAAATCCATGAGTCAGACCCTAGAAGGTACAAGCAACACCCCAAATCCTGATTTATTTTTTATTTTCAAAAGATTAGTGTTTCTTTTATTTTCAGTTGTTTATTAGTCTCTGCCCAAACTACTATGAGTGTGTTTACTTTTTCTTCCTTTACTACATAACTACTCTGGTGTATTTGAGGATCTAAGCTAAAATTCTTATTAGCAGCTAAGAATTGTGCCTTTAATTCTAAATAACATTTTACAAAATTAGTTTGGAAAAATGTCAACCTTATTCCTAAATTCAAGAAGACTTGTGGTTGTCCTCCATAGAGGCTCATCACCATGGCAAATGCAGAAGGCGACTCAGGAGTGATGCGTATCAAACACTGATGTCTGTGGCAACCATGACTTCAAATCATGTCACTCTACAAAAAAAAAAAAAATAGCACTGATTAAAAAATAAAGCTGTTCCACACCCGTCTTAGTCACCATGGAAGAAAACAGAGCTGTGTTAAAAGCAGTAGATAAAAGATGGTTGGTTTAATCTAGATTTTGGCTTAGAAAGACAGAACTAGTACGTAGGCAAACATCTACCCACATGAGAAACAGAGTTGTATTAACTTTGTAACTGGTTTTGCAGCTTTTTGAAACCTTTAGTATTCATCTGCTCTACTTTTGGCTATCAGTTTCCAAACAGAGCGTGGATTATTTTAATATGTTTATTGTCCTTGAAGTATATCCCAGGCTGTTTCCTCTGAATAACTGTTGGATTACTGGATCACTGCCATGCTGTTGCACATGACTGGAGCTATGTAGCTGCCCTACAGCTTCGTGCAACTGGTCAATCAGTATTTCTGATTCCTAAGGCAGACAGAAGGATTTTAAGCCACTGCTTAACAACTAGCTTCTGTAAAACTTTTGAACTAGCAGCGAGTGCTGAAAATGCATGAAACATTTAAGACTCCAACATAGACTTGATTTTCTTACAAGGAAAAGTGGGGGAAGCTCCAGTGTTGTGGGGCTGAGAGCTGAGATGAGTATCATAGTGATGTCTAAAAGGGTCCTTTTGCTCAGAATAACTATACTGGCAGACTCTGTACTAGAAGGTATAATTTCCATTCAGAAAAGATCAATTTCCATTGTAGTTTTCTCTTGAGGTCTGGCTACCCTACAGTAACAGCCATAAAGGGGAGGAATTCCCTAGCCAGCTTTCCAATAGCTAGCTCACGTCCTGGTAGCACTGTAATCCATCCTCCCCAGTCCTTATGCTAATGTCATTAGTCTGCTGTTCATACTAATGCTACTTAATTTAAGGCTAACTCAGACATACGACAATTTACACTGCAGCTCTGGCCACAGCATGAACATACATTTGAGGAGCACAGCAAATGGCCTGACACCAGACCACCCCTTGTGCTTTCTACCTGTGTGAGGAACTCAATCCTCAGCACTTCTTACCTGAAGCACTGGGGATAAGACAATGTCTTCACGTGGTTGCATCTGTTCAACCTCTTTCACTTGCAAATCTGGACAAACCTCAGTCAATGCCTAAATGTACCTCCTGATGTTCCACCTCCCACAGGTGACACTGGGGCAGGAGGCTCCCAGAGGTGTGGGAAATGCCTCGAAGTGGTATCAGAGCCTCTACAAACCATGCCATCCATGTGATGCAGGTCATGGACTCATCCAGCAGGTGGTCTTGGAGCTCTCCTCCTGCCTTGCTGCAGATGGAGCAAGCCATGAATTTTTATAAGATAGGATCTTAACAAGCACAGGTACTTACGGCCTCTGAAACAAACCGTGCTTGTCAGTGGGAAGGAACGTGGCAGGACTTCCTTGATAAAACCCAGGCTTCTGTTTACTGATACACTTTAATGTTTAGTCTCCATTCTGGCAATAGTTGGATTATTGCTCTGGCTACTGAAAGAGATTTACTTTTAATTTTACCTTAATGTGATTCTCTTCTGGGATTCTTTTCTGCCTGCAGAAGATGATCCCAAAGTGTTCTGATAACATCTGCAGTTGTGTTACACAGGTTAACCACCCAGGTGCCTAAGAAAAGGTAGCTTATCTTCTTAGGAATCAAGACTGGGACTCAGAAATTTTTAATTCTACTTCAGTCTATCATGAGCTTTAGACAGGCAAGTCAGTTATTATCCATGTGCCTCAGTTTTGACATATTCTGCTCAAAGAACACAAGCACAGGATGATAGCAAGCAGACATTGAGATCCTCAGCATTATCATTAACAGTGTTGACACAAGGACAGCCATTGCAAGAATTAGGAGTAATTTACTCTGGAAAAGGCAGTGTGTATCTCGATGACTACCTGCTGACTTGCTTGGTACAGATGTCCCTTCTTATTGGTGATGAATTGAAAGGACACAGAAGTCATTGCTGTGGTTAAAAGGGGAGAGGGTTAACTAATGTTATAAAAGCTTTTGGGAAATTATAGAAAAATGTAAAGTATTAGTATAAAGCCCTGTGATTCAATAAGAGGTGAAGAAATACCACTGCTCTTTTATCTAACTAGGCTACACCCACATGAATATGAAATCCTGGGCTGCCAGTTGAAAGTCACTCGCGCATCATTAATCAAAATAAACAGCTATCTTATTACAGGGTGGGATGCATCAGACTCAATGCAAATGTCTTGATAGAAATGCCTGCCCTGAGCTAATCACCCCAGGTTCCCTTTAAAGGCACTGAGCAGAGGTGAGCAGGTCTGCGAGCCCCTTAGGATCTAGGTAGGACATGTCAGATGATGTGAGCCCTGAAAGTTCTTCCTTTTCTCCATAGAATATAAACAGATGCCAAGCTAGGCAAGATAAATCCTTTCAAAATGTCTGTTTTGAGATATTTTGTGGAGATAAGGGTATAAAATGGAATTTTGTTAAGCAGAATGAGCAGAATTACCAACTAGAGACTGAGGCTGTAGCCTTTCTCCTCAGCCTGGAAGTTGAGTGGCGGCACAGTTGGTCTGAGATAGCTTTGAGTATGGTCTCTGAAAATAAAATGTCCTATTTCTGGATTAATGAAGATGCTCCCAAGGAGAATATATATTTCTGGAATGACAAAAAAGGGTATTTCCAAATTGTCTGTAGTTTCTATGTTTACTGACTTTCCCACTTAAATAAACTTTTACGCAATAAATAGTATTTGGAATCAAGAATAACTATTTTATATTGTCCCACTTTAATTTTCCTTCACTATTCATGAAAATGTAGCAAATCTATTACCTGTCCCCACCCTCTTCCATTTAAAGATATACTGATCCATCCTTATTGTCACAGAAAGCAGAAAACGCTTTTAAGAAGCTTTCAGCAGCAGAATCCTAAAAGACCAAAGGCAAGGATAAGGGGTCAGAAGTGCTCTAGAGAGAAATCCTTGTGATCATTACATATACATTTCACTGAAGGCAAGAGGGAGCTCTGTCTAGGCAAAGACCTCAAGGTCTTTACTCTGTTATTTATGTCCTGGTTAAAAAAAAAAAAAAAAAGGAGAACTAAAGATTTGCTAAAGCAGAGGGTTTTTTTTTCTTCTTTTTTTTTTTTTTTTAGGAAAAAAGGTAACAAAATGGTTGCTGTTACAGCATAAACTTTTTTTTTTTCCTGGAGGCATTTAAAGACTTACTGAAATAGAAATGCAAAGTAGATCTTATCACGACACATCTTCATACGCTCTGGACTGAGTTTCTACCCTGTAACGTTAAGACAGACCACACTGTGCTTCCTCCCCTCCAGTTCTGCAACCTCTTACACAGATAAAGAGTCACGAGCATAAACATGCATGAGACCACACAGCCACGTGTTCCAGAAAGTATTTTTCCCACAGTTTGTGACAAATAATGAATTGACATGGAGTGGTTTAGTTTTCTATCATGCTCCTGTTACATATTGATTTTCTGTGGCTTTATAGGAAAATCAGAGACTGAAACGGGTCCTTGCAATAACACCATACATAGGATCAAGCTGATACTGTTGTGCTTCAAGTAACAAATCTTCAAGCTGCAGAAAACCACAGGTCCGCCTGATCTATCTTTAGAACAAAAGTCACATCCTTTCATTGTTTTCATTGAACTTATGCAATGAAAAATGACATTTGAATTTGGGCACTTCGAAATTCTGGAGTTTATTTTATGCTTTACTGCTAAGCTCTGTGGCTTATATGGTACTCAGGAGACTGCCACACTGAAGCCTCTAATATGCTTTTTAATTAAACATAGACATACTATTCCTTTTATTTCTTTCATATTACAAATTGTAACTAAACATTACTCTAATTGTCACAAATCTTGCGATTTTTTTCTCATTGAGCTAGTTTTGTCAAACAGGTTTTTCTCATTTTTAAATCTAGATAGAAATCTTAAAAACATATTTCAGAGTCAAGGTTTGTTCTGAATGACCTGCCAGTGCTGCAGCCTCGAGGTCTGCTCTGATTGTCCTGGCTGGGAAGAATGGGCACCAAGAAGGGCCATTATTTAGATGTATAGAGAGAAGGCACAAACTGGAAAGCAAAAATTGCAAAAAAATGGATGCTGATGGTAAAATGTAAAAATATATCCATAAAGCTGAGTGAGTTTTAATTATTCACGGGATATGCACTTAGTATGATTGTTAAATAGAAAGGAAGTGCCACGAGATCTTATGTGATAGATTCGCCTCTGAAACGCAAGCGAAAGCTCTTTCCTAGAAAACTACAGTGGCAGGGCTGAGGGCACTGGCTTGTTTACTAGCTGATGCTCTGGTCCATGACACCTCATTCATGGTTCTCAGCCCTTAATGGGAAAATTGACTTGCAAGAGAGAATCCCTTCAGATAGAAAAGAACTAGAAAAATCTGCCTTGGAGATGTGGGTGTTTCAAAAATGTTGGTAGAGTTTCTGAAATGTCTGGTTTTATTTTAGCGTCGTAAAGAGTATCCTTAAATCAAGCCTTGCACCTTTTGATTCATGTGTGCTTTCGTATTGAATTAATGCCTCAAACAAGAACTCAGTCAGAAGTCCTATAATCCTTTGTTATTTTAGTCAGTCAAGGGTGATGGAGGCACAACCAGTTCAGAAGAGGTAAATGGCCCAAGCCCCAGTCACCAAGTAAGTGCCTGGATTTTTTCATCTTTTGGTGATGGGTTCTTGTCACTTACTTCCATACACCTTTAGTTTTTGAAATGTAAAAATCACTGACAGAAAATTGCTATAGGCTCACTGAGCTTCACGTATTTACCTATTTCTTTACTTACCTATATTTTTTTACCTATTCATACTATTAAACAAGATTTTAAAGGGTTGCTATCAGATATTTTTAAAAAATTCTTTTTCCAGGTGTGTTTCTTTTCTTAAAATAATTAGTGGGTTTATGTTCAATTTTATTCCTATCTCTCTCACTGTTTCTGCACGTACCTTGACTCAAGCAGTGAAACTAAATATGCAGAGCTAGAATAATTTTTACTTTGTTGATTTACTTGTCTGCTGAGGAAAGGATCATTTAGATGGAAATTCTAAAGAAGAGAAATTAAAGCAAGACTGAAAAACGTCCACTGCAATGTAACAAAACCTTTAAAAATATTTTTTCTTATTCTGTTTTTGTTTCTTTCATTCTGTGTATATAAAAGCTAAACCAAAACTTTAAATGTGACCTTTACATTATATTCTTTATGGCTTTAAAAATGCTTCAGAAAAAATGCATTTTCATTAAAAATACAAATACTGTGATGTTTTCTGAGAGTCAAACCCTCATCTGTTACAAGTCAAGAAATCCAGAATAATTACATTCAGTAATGAGAGACAAAACACAGATTCTGTGTATAAACATACGGTTTCCTTTAACCTGAGAGCAAAACTGAAGTTGTATTGAAAACTGACATTTTGGAATATCTTTTTTTATTTCCTTTTTTGATTAATAGTAAAATTATTTTCTCACTCTTTCTATTTTCATGATGTCCTATCATGCTAAGGTTAGTCATTATTAATTATTTCTGTAAAAACATCCCAAATACAGAAGGTCCTGTCTTGTGACATTTATTCCTTGTTTCATACAGCAGCTTTGTGAAATAATCTGAGTAAGTGAGTAAAAGTTACAGTCCTGGATCTACTTTTTAATATTTTAATTAGCAGCCAGTTTCCTTCCATGTTTTTTGATCAGCTTATTAGTCTTCCTTCTTCTCTCACTTGCACTGGTGTAAATTAGCAGTTTCATTACACACAGAGCTCAAGGAAGACTGTATCTGCTGTTGACTTCTTCCTTTTTTAGAATTTCTGTGAAATGATCTCCTTAAATTATGCTATCGCATCTCTGGAATGCTATGACTCTTTGCTTTTCATCACTGCCATCCTGTATGCTACAGAAATGCATTACAACACTGATCCAAAATCTGTGCAAATTTAGGGATCTGCCTTCTGTGCATAAAAAGCAGCTTTGGATTAAGGCTGTAACATGATGGGGAAAAATACTATCCTGTTAATCTTTTTTCTTGGTTGTGGTTTTTTTTTTTTCCCAGCGGCACTGTTAATGTTGAGAGAGTAAAAGCAACCTGTCAGGTGCAGATCACCCTTTAGAATAAGAAACATTAACATGTTTCATTATTCATAGGCTTCACTTTGTATTTCCTGAGCTGCTCCCATCAATATAAAATATGCCAATTTCCTGCCTTTCAAGGTTAATATGAAACACCTCAAAGACATTATCTGATTGAAATTTTTTTCCTTATTTTGCCTGGAAAATGTATTATGAATATTTTTTTGAAGTGTTTTGTTTGACTAACATCAAAGGCCCAAACCTGCTCACAGAAATAGTCCTGTTGCATCCCGTTCAGATTTGGCTGCAGTACTGTAACTATCAGGCACCTACTCAACAAAACACGTGCGGTGAGGAAGACTCAACTCTAATTTTACAGCTGCAGAATAAACCCACAGATTTCACAGAATGTTGATAAAGGTTAGATGTTGTTCTGGCACCTTTGAACTCAGACTTACCCAGTCTCATGGCTTTATTTTGAGTGCTGTGGTTATTTTTGAATTGAATGTGCACATTTGCAAACGTACCAAAGAGAAGCATTTCAAAGGCGAGCTAAGGCAAACGAGAGTAAGAAGGATCTTGTCAAACTAACCGATGGGTTCAGCAACTGAGAGCTTCCCATCTGATAGTTAAAGTGAGTCAGAAAGAAAGAGACAGAATTAAATCCATGTTTATGAAGTTCTGTTCGTCCTTGTGCTGGCAGAGCTCCTGCATCACTTGGGCACTCAGAAGTGCATCCAAGCAGGTCTCTCTCTTCAAGCAAGGAGAACAAGACATAGGTAGTGTGTGGTGCCTGTGCAGCCCCAGACACGGGTTCTCCTGTACTCTGAGGTTATTGAATTTGCTTTAATAAACTATTGATGCTCAGATGGTGCCTGCCCATGGTGGACGGGGCTACCGACCACCTGCATCTCCAGGTTTCATGTGCTGTCTTCATGTATTTCCTGCAGAACTAGAGCAAAGACTAGCTTCAAGACTGTATTTTTTAAGCCTAAAAGCAGACAAATCCAGGTGTAAGCAAACACATACCCATTTATGTCTGTCCTTTGGAAAAAGAAATAGTTAAATACAAGCACATATTTTGCTGAGGACTTAAGTTAACTGGTCAAGATTGAACGTATTAAATGATTGCAGGTTCTATAATTTAAATGGGGGGGGATAAGATCAGGTGGGGAAGACAGATGAATCAAGAGAAAAAGGCCAGTAGTAGAATTGTTACCCTCTCTCATTCTTATTTCCCCAAAATTAGAGCGGTTTGAGGGTTTTTTTAAAATAGATATGAGAGGTGTATTTGCATTCTGTTTCTCTAGCATTTCTGCTTTCAGGTTTTTCTCTGAAATCATGGTGTCTAAAAATGTATTTGTTTTTAATGAAAGCTAAGCTTGTCATGTAAGTGTATAACCCTAGGCATTTAGAAGAACACCAAATATTTCAAGACTAATGGCAAAATCCCCAAAGTTGGAAAAATTACACAACATTAAGCTTTGGGCTGTGCCCTGAGGGCAGATGTAAGGTTTCCAGCTTTTCAACATGGCAGATTTGTGTGCTATTTTAATTATTATGTTAGTAAATAAGTCAATGTGACTTTTTTGCATAAGAAAAAAGAAAATCCCATTTGCAAACAGATCTCCTAGCAAAAACATATCTAGTTATTTGCTACTCTGCAAACGGTGACAGTTTCATTGTCTTATCCTTTGTTTGCCAGATCTGATTTTTCTCCTGTGAACTTCAAACATATCCCATGCTTCCCTGAGTTTCAGAACATTTTCCTTTACTATAAATAGGTGCTCTGTCATTGAGTTCATTTTCAGAATATTCGCTATCTCTTCTTTTGCACTTGTACATGGCATTTTCTATGATGCTGTGGCCTTCCATAGCCAGACTCTATGTAGTTAACATTTTGGTGGATTGTTGCAGTCTTATAGCAGAGTTGTTTTTATCCTTTGCTTTCTGATGTCTTTTCCTTCTTTTCTCTCCCATGTTTTTCACTTGTGCTTTTTGGGTGCTTTCACCGCCTGGGATGCAAAAGCTGGGGAGTCTCAGTTGGCAATGCATACTTGTGACTCTGCATCTTTCCATGCATGTTCTCTGCCTCTTAAAACAGCTTCGGCATAGACCTATACGTAAATAAAGCAAGTCTATGCAGGGATGGCTTGATCTTGCAGTCTTTGCTCATGTAAGTAATTCTATCAGCTCCCTGGGAGTCCTTCCCCAAGTCAAGGCTGCAGGATTTCGTCCCAACTCTGTAAATGAAAACCTGTTGAACAGCAGGATTTCTCCCTGCCAGGTGGCCTTTCATTTTTAAACGTATTTATGGATCGCCTTCCAAAATGTTTACATTTCACACTAAAAATAACCATTGTTTGAAACTGCTTCAGACATTAAACTCCACAGAGAGGCCAGTTGCCCCAGCTGAAAGTGAACCTGTGGGCCAAAAGAGCAAAGAGAGTTCGAAAGACAAGAAGGCTACAGTGGAGCTGACCAAGCAGAAAGGCAGCAAGCAGGAAACCAGGGAGCAGCCAGACTCCAGGGAGCAGCAAGCAGCCGAGACCGACTCCATCCAGAACGGAGGAGACACTTCAAAGGAACCCTCCTTCAAGAAGACAGAGAAGAGGCAGTCACTTGGAGGGTTTTTTAAGGGCCTTGTACGTTAACTTTATCTTATCTTTTTAGTCATTTTTCAGCTGATTTAAGCACCCAGCCTGCAAGCTGTTAACCAGGTGAGGTTTCTGCTTGGATGGCAGGAGTGCAACTTCACGAGCAGCTTGCAGGACTAAGGCCAGACAACAGCAAGATTTTGGGCAAAGGCAAGAAATCTTGGGCCTCAGGGTACTGATTCACAGGAGGTATGGTTTACTATGGGCGAGCTATAATTGTTCCCACACCCCTGTTTTAGAGGTTCATGCCTTGGCTACGGGGATGACTCAACCGTTCCTGCAGCAGGTACTGAACCACCTACAAATTATGGTGTGTTTATTAAGGAAAAGTGGAGGTGGTGCCGGTTTACCAGAGTAACCTTCCTGCCACGATGGTGGTTCAGCTGCTGCTTCAGCGTGGCTGGGACATCCCTGCAAGGCAGGAAATCCCTGCAAGGGAAAAATCAAGGTAAACCACTGGGTGGGTGGGAACCAGCACAGTGGTCACAGATAAGTGCCTCGTGTTAGCCATCAGTTATAGGCTAGTTAAAGCACACACACAAAAAATATATGTGGTATTTTTTCTTCCTGCTTTTTTTGTTAACTCTTACGATAAATTTGCTATGCCCCCTTCACTGAAACCTGAAATATAGAAATGAAAGAATTCAGCATACTAAAAATTTGGGTTTTTGTAAGGCTTGGTGTTACTGATGCAGCCAGTGGTTCCTCAGAGCATTAAATACATGGAAACTTTTTTTGCCCCTTGTCCATGTTCAGGGGCCAACATAGAAACAAAAGCACAGGTTAGACCTGGAACTGCCTCTCGAGCCCCAACAAGAGGGCAAACTTCCATTGCTTTTTATAAATACATTGGAAGGTTGCAGTTTGCTCCTTACATTGCCACAACGGCAGTGAATCCGCAGAGCTATGGGGTCATTTTCAGCATCTTTTGGGAACCTTGTGTGTAAACTGAGCTTCACCACAAATTTCAAGTGATGCAAAGAGCCTAAACAGATTTTACTGTTACCTGCAATGATTCCTAGTGAATCTGGCTTTCTTGAGAGACATGCTGCTTTTTCTCCCTCCTCCCTACCTTACTTCTAAGGCTGTCAGGAAAGAAAAAGAGCTAGACACTCCCCACATCTGAAAGAAGAAAAGTCAAGCAACATAGATTGATTTGAAAATTAGCCCTGTTAGGACACTGGGTTATGAAGTTAGGCTGCCATGCAGATCAGTATGACTCATCCAGAGGCAGATGTTTTTCCACATCATAAGAAGTGTTTAATTTGCACACATTTCACAGAATTACTATGTGTCCTACAGAGGGCGATTTGCATTACCAAAATAATTACATATTAGAAGGGGAATTAAGAACAAAAGAAAAATAACTTTCTGCAATATTGATAAGCATTTGTTCAGCCACTTATGCTTTTGGTTTCACTCCATTGTTCTGGGGTTAAATCCTGGTCCACCGTGAATCAGTGGGATTTTCCTGTAGTTTCAATGGAGGAAGTCCTGGAGCTCACCTGGAGTAACTACCAACTTGCATCAGCTTCCACTCATCTTGGCTCCCTGTGAAGTCACGAGGAGAAATCTTTTTGCTTAGCACAGTGTGAAAAAGCCAGGGTATTATTTTATATGTATCTGTGAATTGTACTAGCTAATGGAAGTTATCAAACACATGCATGTGGATGTGCACTTTTCTCTCCTCACTCCTTCTGCCTCCAAATTCTGTATGAAATTTCCATTGTGCATGTGTGTAACATCTCATCCACACTCAAGACCATGATGTGTAGGTGTCGTATCCTGCTTTGGGTATCAGCAACTTTCCCCAACAGTGAAATCAGTTCTGTTACTTAAACCTCTTACATGATGGTAACAGATCTCTTACGTCAACTGGAGGGGAGGAAGACAGCCACATTTTTCTGGCATAGGTTATCTAGAAACGGGGCAAATGTTAACTACCTCTATTATTTCTGGAGATAATTGAGATTTGTTTTTCTGCTCTGGAGAATTGTTGAAATTGAGCACTAACAGTCTTCCTTTGGCAAAATTCTCACTACAGCCACTGTGTGAGAAAGGGTTTGTCTGTTGACAGTTGCACTTTGCTTTCTATGGTGTCATTCATCCAATCTGTATCAAAAAATCTCTCATAGAGTTTAACAATAGATACAGATTTAGAATTATTCCAGAAAGAGAGAGATGAGGAAGTGCAAGCTAGCAAGGAAACATACTTTCAAGTACAAGTTCATGAAAGAAACAGAGGCAGGAAAGGTGTCTCTGATTCAAAGGGCAATAAAAAACTTTTTGATCAAGAGAGGAGATTGTGAAGAGGTAAAAAGATCATTTGGGAAAAAAATGCAGAATAAAGGCAGAGGAAGTAGACATGTTCTGTGAGATATTTTTGCTTGCTCAAACAGTATGCTAGACAGTTTGGATGTATAGAGCCTTATCTTCTGTTGCAATTATAGAGGCCAATAGTATTCCTACAGCTTCCTTCTCTGTTAACAAAAGATGGAATTTAAAAAAACAAGTTTTTGACAACAGTGTAGCTGATTCGGTCATTTTATTGTGCTTTTGAACTGAAGGGAAAAAAACAAACCAGAACAATGGGGTCTGTGTATGGAAAATATCTCACAGAAAATGACTACCTCTTTCTGAAGAAGATTGCCCACATCTAAGAAACCTAGTTCTGCAATGCTTCTACGCATCTCTTAAGTGATCACACTAGTCCTAGGAAGGTGTAATCATTAATCTAAAAGTATCAGATCACACACAAACCAATGCCAGAATTTCCTTTTCAAGATACTAGCTTAAATATCTGGTAACAACTCTGTGGAAATATTAAGCTTGATGCTGATAAAGTGGAAGCAGGAGATATTTAAGAGGAGATCCAGCAAGCCTTACTTGCTCCTGTAATCTGTGCCCTCCAAGCTCCTCCTAAATTCTGGTGAGCTATTTCAATAGCAGCTATTTTAACACCACTCTCTCCTGAATCCATCGATTCCTCTGGGAAAGGGCACAGAATAAAAGGATGTCATAGTGCAGGAAT